GGGATTATATTTTTTAACACAAGCTGATATGGTTGAATAACATTAGTTATTTCACACGTGAGCACAGTTTTCTAACAAACTATGTAGGGGGATTATATTTTTTAACACAAGCTGATATGCTTGAATAATATTAGTTATTTCACACATGAGCAGAGTTTTCTAATAAACTATGTACTGGGGTGGAACATATTTTTTAACACAGGCTGATATGGTTGAATAACATTAGTTATTTCACACATGAGCACAGTTTTCTAACAAACTATGTAGGAGGACTATATTTTTAACCCAAGCTGATATGCTTGAATAATATTGGTTATTTTACACGCGAGCACAGCTTTGTAACAATCTATGTGCTGAGAGCAGATTATATTTTTAACACAGGCTGATATGCTTGAATAATATTGGTTATTTCACACATGAGCACAGTTTTCTAACAAACTATGTAGGGGGACTATATATTTTTAACACAAGCTGATAGCTGATAGGCTTGAATAATATTGGTTATTTCACACGCGAGCACAGCTTTGTAACAATCTATGTGCTGAGAGCAGATTATATTTTTAACACAGGCTGATACGGTTGAAGAATATTGGTTATTCCACATATAAGCACAGTTTCGTAACAAACTATGCGCTGAGGGTGGATTATATTTGGTTGACTTCAAAGCCGAGGGTGATGTTCAACTTCCCCCCTATAGATAGCGCCACTCGCAAACATCCAAGATGTCAGAAAAAGAGAGAATTCAAGTTTTCCCTTCGCGAATGTAAGTGTATCATCATCAATGATATCATCAACATTTTTGTTTTTGCTCCTATTCCTCCCAAGGTAGATGTTTACAGCATCACATAAATTCACGAAACGTATAATAAGTGAAACATACTAGAAACAAACTACACGTGAAAAGCAGTGGCAACATAAAACGTGACACCTTAGTCACGTTGGTGTCAATAAACATTGATTAATAGGCCTACTAATCAGTAATTCTATGCTAATTTAGTGTCCGTCTATAAGTTCGTTACATGATGAGACTTTTCTCATAATTCCAACTATTCTGTGCATTCTTTGTTAAACAAAATAAATTAAAATAGCTATGGACAGTGATTCACTGATTTTATAATGATAGGCCCTACCATTTATTTTTTAACAATCAATAGAAATTAAATTCACACATTGATTGCAAATTGGTCCAACCTGATATGCAAAATACGAATATTTTAGTGTTTAAGATATGGTTACACAATTTGCTTAGAGGTCACCTTCGCATTACTTTCGAAACATATCATCAGATAGTACGTCATTCCTCTGTGCTAGACTGTAGCTTTATACATGCTCTTGCATCAGTTATCTAACAACTGCAATAACATGATATTCTGATTATCTTTTTGCAGATAAATTTAGTCCATGTATTTGACTGAAATGCACATATTAAATTGCTGTTTATTAGAATGATTAAAAGCATATTATTTATCGATTATATGCAGGCATGAAAATTTTCCTCGGATTCGCTTATTACCGGGTTTTGGTTTTCATGTTTGTCATTTTTGAGATCGATGCAAAAAAACTAATAAAAATTTGATGGGGGTGGGGGGCCGTGGTAAGGTGTACTTTTCACTTTCCACTATCATGGACAGAACAATTTGCATAGCTGTAATATGAATGGACAAATAGGAAATGCTTGTGAAAATACCCATTTTATGGGGAAGTCACAGGGATAGTGGTAGTCAGCCTGTCATTGTTTTACGTATTGCTGGTGTTATATTTTATATTCATTGAAAGTGTACAAGCTAAAAGTCTGTCTGATATTTTCAGGGCGCAGACTATCATGAAGGCTCGTCTCAAAGGAGCCGAAAAAGGTCACAGTCTTCTCAAAAAGAAAGCAGATGCGCTAACCTTGAGATTCAGAGCAATTCTCAAGAAGATTATCGAGGTAACTAAGAAATAAACTCATTCAGAATTGATTTATTGTTAAGCTTATACTATCCACATTTGTGTATAAATATTTAGGATTCAGTGTTAAAGCTACATTATACAGTTTACTTTTATCTTTTGGTGGCAGGTGCAAATGACAATTTTCGTACCCATGTGTAATTTAGTCAAGTTGTGAATTTGTTTTTGTAGACAAAAGTCCTAATGGGCGAGGTTATGAAGGAAGCAGCTTTCTCCGCAGCGCAAGCCAAGTTTGTTATTGGTGACTTTAACCATGTGGTGCTGCAAAATGTCACCAAGGCACAGACAAAAGTTCGGTCAAGAAAAGACAATGTAGCCGGTAATGTATTAATCATTAAAATCAAAAAGTGGCATTGTTACATCTGTAACAAGTCTCTTCTTCTGCCTATTTGAGTAATATGTGAAGTACCAATAATATACTGTCAGATAGTGATATTTAACTGGTGAAACTAGTGATGAATTGAAATTTGCTCTAAGTATAGTCATAATCCCTATCGTTCACTATAGTGCACATCTTGCTACATATCTGGATGTAGCATATTTACTTGGCTCTATCATATGTAGTGACAAATCAGTCTAATTGCTACTAAGTATAGGTCTGGTATTTAATTGCTTATTTGCATACTAAGTTATGTTCTTGTTTCAGGTGTGCTGCTTCCTGTGTTTGAACATTATGTGGATGGGTCCGACAGTAAGTTCTACATGAATTAGACACACGTAAATTCATGGTTTTTACAAATTTGATGAAACTTATTGAAATATCGTGGGTGTAATCCCTTCAATAGAAATAAAATCTTGAGAGTACTGTGTGTCTGCACGAGGTTGCCTATGGTTTGTGGGTGTGCGGCGATTTTTATGGCGTTGTTTTTCAGGCTACGAATTGGCTGGGTTGGCGCGTGGTGGACAGCAAGTGAGCAAGATTAAGAAGAACTATGCCAAAGCTGTTGAGCTGTTGGTTGAACTGGCTTCTCTTCAGACATCATTCGTTACCTTGGATGAAGTCATCAAGATCACAAACAGACGAGTGAACGCGATTGAATACGGTAGGGGCCTAGGCACGCATCGGAATGCCACAGCTTTGTATCAGATAATTAACAATTAATATATAATTATTAGCAGTTATTATATTAGAACTTACTTGAGGCATGTTTTAGTCTAGCCTTGAAAGTGAATGTGTGTGGAAACACATGGATGCTGTCAAGCACTGTTGTTCATTTTTTTAGCTCATCTGACATAGTCGGATGCAGCTTGTAGAATTGCATGAGCGTGCGTCTGTCCGTGCGTCCGTGCGTCCGTGCGTCCGTCCGTCAACAGTTGGGCACAAATCGTAACCGCTTGACGTACGGTCACGATATTTGGGACGTGGGGGGGTAATCCGAAAACGAGTTGGGATGTCGAAGCTGGGGGTCAAAGGTCAAGATGTGTAAAAGAAGGGGGAACATTCCCTCCTTAACTTAAGGTATAGGGAGGAAATGCAGAATTGAGGCACAAATCTAAACGGCTCGACCTAGGCTCGTGATAGTCGGTGTATAGCATCATGGTAGGAAAAGCCATCACTGTGCTGAAATTGGAGGTCAAAGGTCAATGGGGCACAGAGCAGATTTTAGACATTTTCTGAGAACATGGTCTGACGGAGCGATTGAAAAACTTTTTTGTTACAGCGGTGACCTAGCATTTTTATGGCTTTATTGAAAGGACCATGAAATGTACTTTCTGCTGACATGCGAAGAATAAGTGTCGGATAACCTTTTGACCCTCAAGAGGAGGGTTAAACATGGATTTGTTTACTGTCTGTTAGAAAGAATTTGACTGCCGGGTTTGCTAGTAGAATCTATACATGCCTGGATGTATGAGGCTACAATGTCAAAGTGAAATTTCAAAAGCTAAATTTGGTTGGAGAAGGTTTATACTCCTTAAATCGTATAATTTCTATGGCATTTTGTACTGTCAGTGTCAGTGTGTTACATGTAACGTATGCCACTGGCAGTGGCCGTGGTGGTGATATTACTGTGTAGTTTTTGCCTGCGTTAATTAGTTACAGGTGGCAGCTCTCTATTTCAGCCTGTAGGCTTGCGTAGGTAAATGAATGAGTGCTTACCTATTCTGTCTTGCAAATAGTTGTCGCTACTACGTACGATGGGAGCTTCCATCTTTAATCTTAAGACACTTAAACATACGTGCCATCTCGTGGCAACTTTCATAACGATCCCAACGAACATTCCTTTGAGAAGGTTCCTGATACCATCCCTGTGCCTTCCACTGTTTCGGCGTGTATGTGAACACATTTGGGACCAACAGGGTTTACTAGAATCCCACCACTCCACCACAGTCACCACAGTAGACGTTAGATGAGCGCTGTCGCTCCGCGGCACTTGTTTTAACTGGCTATTGGTTTACGATGTTATTTAATATGCATGCTTTCGTAAAGTTCACATATTAATAAAACAGCATTGACAATAGTAGTCAAGTTTGAGGTCCCTGTTGCTAATTACCATTATTCTTTCTCTCAGTTATCATTCCACGTATAACGCGAACATTGGCTTACATCATAACCGAACTGGATGAGAGAGAAAGAGAGGAATTCTACAGGTAGGCACGTCCCCTAAGCAGACTTTCCTGTTCTAGTACAAGTATTTGATACATGTATAGTATCAAATACTCTATATTTCAGTAAGTGCTGTTCTACAGTGCAGTTGACAGTGTGTGCTATTATGTTGGTGTAATTTATGTTATTATGTTTTTAAATATTTAATGGATCAATAGTTCAAAATTTTTCATTTTTTCTCATGCAGGCTCAAGAAAATACAGGGAAAGAAGAAGGTAATAAGAGCTGATGCAGAAAAGGTTAGGATAGCACTGAAAGAAAAGGGAGTTGATGTGGATAATCCAGCAAACATCCTAGAAGCAACAAATCAAGACCAGGATCTACTTTTCTAGTTCTGCTTCAAGGTCTAGGAAGTATTGGTATGCTTGGTAACGTGAAATTCCGACGTAAACTTGGTTACAGTGAAAAGTGCACAGCATCTAAAGGGTCCTGCATCCCGCATTTGCCATGGAAAGGGAAATATACTTGATATAAAAATCTACTATTGAGTATTGAGTGTAAATTCAGATAAGCAATAGAAGGCGTAGATATTTATATGCTGTGTAGCAGTGCACTGTAACGTTACTTTGGTTACGAAGGTAAAATAGTAATATGAACTTGTAGCTAAAGTAGGATTCCTTCTACTTCAAAAACTCAGTTGTGTACAAACTAAAACCATTAATAAGGAAAAAACAATATGCACTAAATATGATTCAAAGTTGGTGACTAATTGTTTTCTGATCGACTTATTGGTTTTGGTATGTTGAATTGCATAACAACTTGTATAATTTAACAATATTTATCACTTACAATGTATGTATTCACTTGCCATTCAAAGTTGATGGAAGCTGAAGCTGATCCAATTTGAAAGCTATTGTCGAGTAAAATTCTACAATTTTTATAATGAAATGGAAATAACTGCATGTCAGTTATCGTTAAACTTTAATCATTACAAATGTAAAAACTAGGGAGTCGTGTAACAACACGTTAATGCAAGTTCTAAATAATAGCAACTCTAAACAAGTTACAGGAAGTTGAGTTACAAGAGGTAAAGTAGAAATGACTACTATGTACTGATTACTGTTGGTTTAATGTAGATTGGTGTATTGGCTTAGTCAACCCAGTGATCATTCCTGGCAGCACAGTGAATGTTGTCAGTCATTAAAGTCATAGTAATAATATTATCAGTTGTTTCTGCTGTAAGTAGAGTTACTGCCCTGAGCTGATTACAACTCTAGGTCTGGCTTTAGTATACGATACTGATCGAAACAAACAATAAGCTTTCTAATCAAGTTGTATAATTTGTTTAAATTTTCGTTATTTTTTTTAACTATATATATGTTAATATAAAGAACAATAATGTAATGAAACATGTTGGAACTAATGTTAATAAATATATGTATGTATATACATGAGGGTAAACAACATATTTCGTGAAGTTTTAAGTAATGTGAAGTAGTTTACATGCTATATGTATTGGTCTTTGAGCTAGCGTTTAAAATGCAACAGTGTGAGTATGGTTAAGGTGATTCTTGCCCTCAAACCTTCACCTGTAGATGGTCTTTGCTGATTAAAGCACGTCATCAGCGGTCTGCAAGACAATTATACACACAATGGCTGTAGACAGAATGACATAATTTGCACATTAACGCTTCCACGTTAGTACGTTGTGAGTGGACATTGACACTACGGTAAAACATGCTAGTCTAACAGCTTTGTTAACAAGAGCGTGCTGATTCATTATTGGTATGATTTAACTCTACACTTTTTTAAAATCTTTGTTAGGGCCGTAGCTAGCGGAGGACAGGGTAATGTCAAATGTAGACAAATGTCGATACTATTACATGTCCAGGGGCCAACGTCGAATTGCCCACAGTCACCTGCCCAAAACTCCTCACATTTACTTCCCCTTCCTCTACCTCTCAGGCAAAATGACTAAGCTATGCCTCTGGCCTTATATGTGTGATGTTGAGAGTATGTGAATAGTAGGTACCTCACTGCAGATGTCTACCATGGCATTGACTGTCTGGTACTGTGTCTGTAGCTGATACATCGTGTACTCCACAGCACACAGTAGCTGGAAGTAGTGGCTTAGTACTTCACAGTCACTGTAATCAGACCGCAGGCGTTATTAACACTCTGGTTGGTTTCACTGCTTAATACAGGCCCTGATGCATCTTCCCTCGTCAGAAAACCCATCACCATGCCATTGACAAACGACTTAAAACAGGTGGATTTTACCGCCCCCACACCGCACCCACCTCACACTGCCCCCACACCGCACCCACCTCACACCGCACCCACCTCACACTGCCCCCAGCCCGTCTCCCCACCTCACACTGCCCCACACATCCGCACCCATCTCACACTGCCCCCATCACCTGCCCCCCACCCCGCACACCACACACAGCCCAACCTCAACACTGCCCCCCCCGCCCGCACACA